CACTCTTTCTTTCTTTAAAGCAGTATATAAAACTTGTCCTGCAGCCAAAGCCATTTTTGTGAATTATGATATGAATCCTTAATGTTCCTCATAATTGCTTGGGTATCAGGAGTGCCCTTGGACCCAACAGCCCCACATGTGAACATTTTTCTTTATTGTTATTTCTTATGCATGCAACTTATGAGCTGTCTCTTTTTGTTCTTACCAGTGTTTTTTTTTCTTTAACAGTGCCTTAGCTCTGTAATTTGGTAGATCCATATATCCAACCTTCCAGCATTGCATGTAACAAAATTTAAAAAGCATTAATGTTCATTAGAAGCAGTTACCTTCAATTTGGTAGAATTTTGATAACTATATTTTCAGACTTAGTCAACATGTGATGTCCTTCACTTTTTTTTTTTTTCATTTTGAAATAGGAATTGGTAAATATGATCGATAATCATCAAGTGACAGTAATAAGTGGTGAAACTGGTTGTGGAAAAACCACTCAAGTTACTCAGTTCATTTTGGATAATTACATCGAAAGAGGAAAAGGATCTGTATGCAGGATAGTTTGTACTCAGCCAAGAAGAATTAGTGCCATTTCAGTAAGTTATCTCTCACTTTTTAAAATTCCCCACTTTCTTTTAGGTAGTCTTGCTAGTAGCATTTTTTTCATTTATTTTTTTTTAAGATCTGTTGATTTTGAATGGGCAGTTTAATAAGTAATAAAAAGTAAAATAATAGTCTTAATTTTTTGTGTACAGAATATACTGATTAGGAAATTTTACTCCTGAAGTATTTCTTAAAAATTATCATGTAATTTTCTGTTCCTAACCTCATTAATCACAGTTCTGTCACAAGATGACTTGGTTACTTTGAGTTAAATCAGTATTGATTATTATGTTTCATCTATCCAGATCTTACTTCTGGTAGCCATAACTTTCAGAACATGATCAAAAACTAGAAATTAAGAAATACCAATCTCTAACAAAAGAAAGAAACAAAAAATCAACATGTATTTACCCTTAAATTACATGCAAGTTTTACAGTTGATACCATGATTTCTAACTCGTTTAGAAAAGACAAAAAAAAATAATGAGAGGATGCTGTATATGTAGAAAGGCACTTTGAAAATAGTGACAAAAGAGAATTTGGCCTTGGGGGGCTTTGTAGGAGAAAATTAAAAGTAAACATAAGCAAGGGGCCTGCAGCTCTTGGTGCACACATAGTGTCAGATACCTCAGAATTTAATCTCTTTTTAACTTATGAAAGTGTGATGAACAATTTTTCAACAATGGCGGATTTTCATGGTTGTTCTGGATATTTGTACTGAAGGAAAATCTATTTTGTTTGTATTTTATTTCAATTAAAGGTTGCGGAGAGAGTGGCTGCAGAAAGGGCAGAACCTTGTGGCAATGGTAATAGTACCGGATACCAAATTCGTCTGCAGAGGTAAAGAACATTCACTTCTTGTTTGCAGGTAGATTTTAGTGAAAATTTGAAGCTGGAAATTCAAAAGAAAGATTTTCCTCATTTTTTACTGATTATTACTATTAGAATTAACATTTGAAGTAACTGGATCATAGAAGGCTTTCAACCAACAAAGTCATTTTTTAACCCCAATTCAGATTTAGATTTCAGTTTTAATATGTTTTACATTATGGAATGATTAGAGAAATAACTTATTTCCTGGGCATACATTAGTAGACCACCTGCCCCCTACCTCCTTAAAAGGAGTCTGTGTCCTGTACCTTTTGGTACCACAGCCCCCAGCCACTGACTGACTTTACTTATTTTGCTATCATTAACCTCCTGTCCCACTCTACTGTATTTCTTTACCTTTTTCCATTTATCTGTTTAAATCAACTGACTTTGCAGTCACTGAATAGTTAAGGCCCTTAAGTAATGGGTGGTTTTCCAGATGTTAATAGTTATGCCTTTAAAAAGAAATCATTAACACTGCATCATGACAAGAAAAATAATGTATAGGCATTATTGTGGTAGGCATTCCTAAAACTAAAAAATTAAGAGTGAAGATATCCATTAAAACTTTTAAATCGAAGACTTTCTTTTAAACTTTTGTGGTACTTAGAAATTTACTGGTAAAGTAAACCAAGAATTATTAATGTGTGTCTTTCATTCACAGTCGGTTGCCAAGGAAACAGGGTTCTATCTTATACTGTACTACAGGAATCATCCTTCAGTGGCTCCAGTCAGACCCGTGAGTATGTTTCAGTTAAGGGCATTTAGTTAAATACTATCAAAAGATGTCCTTATAAAATTGAATGCTACTAATTGTTGAAGTAAAATGGTTCCGTTTTAAAATTTCGTACTGAGTTACATACTTTACCACACTTCTGCTTTAGGCATTTGTCCAGTGTTAGTCATATTGTGCTTGATGAAATCCATGAGAGAAATCTGCAGTCAGATGTTTTAATGACTGTTATTAAAGATCTTCTCAGTATTCGACGTGACCTGAAAGTAATATTGATGAGTGCAACACTGAATGCTGAGAAATTTTCAGAATATTTTGGTGAGTAAAATTTACGATTGTTACTTTAGAAAGTTATCACAAAGCCATTGAATTTACAGTTAACTTTTAAAAAAAAAACTAATACAGTGCTAGGTAGAGTAGTCTAAATAAATGATTAGCAACTCATTTAATATTCTCATATCCTTTAGTTTCACAGATTAGAGAATTGGGCCTAATTTTTTAAACGATGGCATCATCTCTCCTCTTCCAGTGAAGACATACTGTTTATTGGTGCTGTCCTCAGATAATTAAAGTGGCATCAGTGAAGTGAGACCACAGATTCGAATAATTTTATAAACTTTTTTTGTGATTTTTCTGTGGCTTTTATGTACTATCACAGTCTAGAGTGGCAGTTTGCTAATAACAGTAATAACAGTAATGCAACTACTTATGGAATACCTCCAGTGTGCCAGCTAGTATATTTGGCACTTCGTCTTTATTAATTTTCATACTGCCTTGTCAGGTAGACGCTATTATTTCTGTTTTTACAGATGAGAAAACAGCCTCAGAGCAGTTCAGTAGCTTATGCAAGGTTGCATAATTAACAGAGGGTCAAGAATATTTGAAACTAAATTTGACTAACTGCAGAGTATATTCTTTTAAAATTATGCCTCACTGTTTCTCTTGCTTATAATTAGGGAAAGGGGGAAAGGGAATTAAAATGGAATAGAGCTATATTTAATATATGTTCTTACTTTCAGCTTAATTTAATGCATATTCTTGTATTGAGTCTAGTTGATTCTTAAAGCCTTGTGAGATTAGTTGAGTATATTACAGTCTTTGTTATTGTTGTTGAGGTATCCAGAACTAACATTGAGTAACTTACTCAAATTTACTCAAGTCAGAGGCAAATCTGTGCTACTGCTTCAGATGACCTATGCTTCAATGTTGACCTTTGTTTACAGTGTGTACTGTTCGTTTTGTTTGGTATAAAATATGAATAACATTTAAAAAACAGTACTAAGAACCTTCTATTTTTTATCTGGCGATTCTAATTAGTAATAATTTAATATTTGGTTCAGTCTTGTTTTAACTACTTTTCTTCTGTCCCTAATTTTGGGTGCCACAAAAGGAATGCTGCTTATGTAGATTTCAGTAAAACTTAGATTCTGATGGCACCATCTTGGCTAATGATGAAGAGTAAATAGACTTCTAACTAACGAGTTTTGAGTCCAATATAAAATTTTCTATTCTTTGGTATTCCAGTTACCTTGTAGAACTGTGAGATGTGTGTACAGTTTGGTAGCAGTAAAATGGTTTTGAGTGAAAACTAGACTACTGCTTTTTATTGAACTAGGTATGGAACAATAGGGTAGAGCTTTAAAAGTTCAAGTTCATTTTCTGAAGTTAAAGTACTAGACTCATTGTCCTATTTATAATGTTTATTTTTATTTTGAACATTCGAGTACAGACTTATATTTTGTCTACCATAATAGGTAACTGTCCAATGATACATATACCTGGTTTTACTTTTCCGGTTGTGGAGTACCTTTTGGAAGATATAATTGAAAAAATAAGGTAAGTAAGTATTAGGAAGTAAAAGAGATTAAAAAATACTAATATGCCAGCTTTCCTGTCAAACTTTAACCTCAGAAACTCATCCTTGACCACTTTCTTCTAAAACATTTTTTTTTTTCCCTAAATCAGGGATTCCCAAACTTGGTTGCTCATTAAAATTACTAGGAGCCTTTTAAAATCCAGATGCTGCATTCATACTTCATACCTTAATTACACTACAAAGTTTGGGGTGGTAGCCAGGCATCAGTGTTTCTTTAAAGATCCCTGGGCATACAAAGAACAAACTGGTGGATGCCAAATGGGTAGGGGTTGGGAGGCTGAGTGAAAAAAGTGAAGGGATTAAGAAGTACAAATTGGTAGTTACAAAACAGTCACGGGGTTGTAAAGTACAGCATAGGGAATGTAGTCAATATTGTAATAACTATGTATAGTGCCAGGTGGGTCCTGGACTGATCGATCGGGGGATGACTTTGTAGATTATGTGGATATCTGACTCCTGTGCTGTATACTTGAAACTGATATAAAATAATTTTGGATGTCAAAAAAAAAAAAAAATCCCTGGGCAGCTAAGTTTGGGACTCTCTCTATCTTTAGTTCTTGAACTTCTCTTCCAGTTCTCCTACCTGCTTTTTTTCTCCTTTCAGGGCTTCCATTCCCCACCCTTTAAATACGATTTTCCCCTAGAGTTTTTAGTTAATTAGCCTTTTCTCAGTCTGTTGTGATTTCACTGTGCAGTCTTGTTTCCATGACCAGACTTCTGTATTTTCACAGCTCTCTGAACTATAGCTTCAAAATTGAAGCTCTTCCTGATGCTAAACTTGTTATCTAACTCTGTACTCACTCAGCAGCATTTCATTACCACAGATACCTTGGACTTCCCATTTTTAAACTAAAATTATTATCTTATATTCCATTCTCACCATGCTTGCACCAAATAAAATAATATGTTCAGTATGCCTTATAATGGTTATTGATACTATCCTCCACCTAGTCGTCTAAGCTATAAATGGAAAAAGCTAATATTTATCAGCTATATTCTAGGATATGTTTACTGGCTTACGTGTTTAGTAACCAAATTACTATAAGTAATTCTGTAATTCCCCCCCCCACCCCCCACCCCCAACACAAACTGTGAGAGCTTTCACCTTGAATGTGTCTTCTCGTTTTATTTTTTCTGCTTAAAGACCTTGTTATCTCTCCTGCATTAATATAATAGTTTCTCTTTTGTCACGGTGGTCTTCACTCTCACCACTGCTTCCATATATTTTCCTTAAAAATCTGGTCATGTGAGCTTTCTTCCCCTAGGCAAGGCCTCTGAGACTTCTCTTTAAAAACTTAAGAACCTTTATTGGTTTGTCAGAGCCTATAGCAAAGCACCTCACTGATATGCCCAAGTTATTACTCCCCTCAAAACTGACCGTTAGCTACAACCAGCCTTTTCCAAGGGGTTATAAAAGATTATATTTGTATTTTGATGAGAAAGGGGTTGGGAAAGCACAGCCCCATGGTATCAGGTTTCAATTCCACAACTAGTCATCTCATTATAGTCTGTCCCCATTCTGTTCTAGCTTCACACATCCCATGGCCTGCCATCCTAAATGCACCATTCTCTACTATGCCTCCCCCTGCCCTTTTATTCATGACTTTGTGCTTTGTACATGTTATTGCCTGTTTTAAGATGTACATGTACCACTTTCTCTATCCTTTCATCTTTAAATTATGAATGATATAAAAATCCCAGCTTTATTGCCTGTTAAGCCTTCTCTAATACTTTTCACAGGATGAGCTGATTTCTTATTCAGGCTCTCATAGCATTTTTATCATGTCTTTTACCTCCCTAATTGCCACATAATGTGTCTCCTTATATTTGTCTTTTGCACTAGATTTCAAATTTTTCAAGCTTAAGGATTTTGTCTTGTTCATCTTTGTAACTAGCGCGTAGTACAGTGCTGGCCTATAGCAAACGTCTGAATTAAGTATATGGTAGATATAGAAATACTTGCAATGAGATTTTTTTTTAAGACTCCACAGCTTGCTTGTTAAACAAGAACATGAAGTATTGGTGAGAATGTGAGAAGATCCTGCTGCGTAATTTACATAGAGAAAAGTCAATTGAATTTTGAATAGATATTTATTTAACAAATATTTTAAACTTTATACCTTGCACTGTGCACTAGGATCTGAACATAAAACAAGGAAAGACTAGGTACGTACCCTCCTAACGAATGTCTAGACAGAGATGTACGCTGTTAATATGAGTATGACTGGCCTATTCTGGGGAAGTCAACAGCTTGACAGTAATGAAAACAAAAGTTTCAGGGATCAGTAGTATAGAATTACATAAAGTCAAATGGCTTTCTTAAGCTCTGTAGAAGGCAAGTTATATACCAGGAACTGGCTAAGAGGTCTCTTGAGGAAAAAGGGTTGGTATCTATGCACTTGCCATTCGGTAGCCAGCCCTAAAAGGGTAGTTGCAGGAGGGTGGTCCTTGGATACAAGTTTTCAGGAGAAACCCCCAGCTATCTCCTCTCAGAAGAGTTACACAATAAGGATGGTAGGGAGGGAAGAAAGTAGGGTGAGGTGATACGGAAGGTTGTGATTAGGCCCTTGGTGGAGGGGGGAGTTGTTGGAATTGCTGGGAAGGGAGCCAACTGCTGGGTCCATCCTGCTGACTAGGACTGATCTCTGTCCCAGGTTGCCCTACCTCAAGTTGGTGACTCTATATGTATCGAAGACTTAGGGGAATCCTGGGTCACAGGTACTGAATAAGGAAGGGGATTAACACTTTTGGGGTGTCTGCTGTATGTCAGGCACTGTGCTTTCTTTACTCATCACTTTCTTGTTTTTATTCTTTTGCCAATACTGTTATAAGAGTATTAATCTCTCAAACAAGGAAACTAAAGGCCAGAGATTCATGCAGCTAGTCAGTGGCAGAGCAAAGACAGCATTCCCATATTCTGAATCGTAAAGTTCGAGCTCCATACCCCTCATTCCATCTAGATGCTGTCCTCTAGGTGAACTCTGAGGGGCTTTGGGGTTCAAGTTTAGGTTCATTTTTCTTTGTCTCTCTCCACCTCCATGCTTCTCAGAACCTACTTATTGTAGATGGGATTTGGGGTCAGATGCGCTCTGCGTATAGGGAGCATAGGGAGTCATAGTATAGCACTGGACAGACACGTAAGAGATTTGGATGCTGATTCTGGCTCTGCCATTAGCTATGTCTGTGGTCTGAGCAGAATTAAATAGTTCTCAGGCATGGGTCTGTAGGCCTTTAGATACATTATCTGAATCTCCTGGAGCATTAATTAAAATTCCTGGGTTAGTAGACCCCAGCCATACTTGAATCCATATCATAAGTATAGAATTTAGGAATCTATATTTTACAAACCCCAGGGGAGTCTCATGTGTACTCAGGTTTGGAAACCTGTATGTAAAATCTGAGTCTTCTGCAAGGCAATCATTAGCTATTCTTTTGGACTTAATGGTAACTTTTTTTTTCTTAGAGCAAACTTAAAATTGAAGGTGAAAGTTACTCTAGTTTTTATTTTTTAATCGATTGCTGAAGACAGTCTAGAGGTATATATACTTCTATAGAGGAGAATGATTTTTATTACAGTGTCAGATTTTATGTTAAGGAAAACTTGCAAATTAATTGATATTTAATTGGTGTTCACTACAAGTTATAGTGAAAATGTTCTTTAAAAATTTTTTAAATCCTAAATGTAAAAATCTAGATATTAGCAAAAAACAAAGTTTCAAATAAGTGAGGCTATTTAAGAATGTTTTTATTTTAGATATATTCCAGAACAAAAAGAACACAGATCCCAGTCAAAGAGGGGTTTCATGCAAGGGCATGTAAATAGACAAGAAAAAGAAGAAAAAGAAGCAATCTATAAAGAACGCTGGCCAGATTATGTAAGAGAACTGGGGAAAAGGTAAGTTTCTTTTATTTAAAAGTGAGAACACAGTAACTAAATGACCAAACAAAAAGCAGGAATTATCTTTTTGAATTTGTATATATTTAGTAGGAGACCATCTCAAGTCTCATGTTCCAGCTAAATACTGTCCTGATTTGACTTGTAAGCACTATTATTATCCCAGTAATTTTCTCCTTTCTACTGATTGTTTCATTTGCAATTTAATTTTTAGGTTTTGTAGCAAGTTAGACCTTAAGAAACATCAAACATTTCATGATTTTCAATAGGTATTCTGCAAGTACCGTAGATGTTATGAAAATGATGGATGATGATAAAGTTGATCTGAATTTGATTGCTGCCCTAATTCGACACATTGTTTTGGAAGAAGAGGTTAGTTTTCTTTGTTTTTCTTCAAAAAACATAATTTTAATTTTATATATCAAGGCCATGAAAAAAAAGAAACGCTTTTTAAAAATAGCCTATGGAAGAAATCACTTTTGACGGCAGAAATAATTTCAAAATACCAAAAGATTTAGACATTGGACCTATTTAAAGAAGAGACTGAACAAATGAAGTATCTGGTTTATAAAACCTATTTTTAAAAAGTGAGCCTTCAGTTATAATCAGTAACCGATGCTGTCGTGAGCTAGTGTGATTTTAATGAAGACTTAAATGGGCACAGATTTTTACTCTTAGTATATTTTGTTATGTGATCCTTTGTAAGATTATTTCTCCTCCTTACAGGATGGTGCAATATTGGTTTTTCTGCCAGGCTGGGACAATATCAGCACTTTACATGACCTCTTGATGTCACAAGTGATGTTTAAATCAGGTATTATAAAAATATTTTATTGCAATTCCAAGAGTGGTTCTGGAGTCATATGTAGCCTGGTTTTTATCTTCATTTGAAGGAATGTTGCTTCTAAGGCTACCTCAGCGTAAGAACATGGTGATCTTAGCGCAGTTTGGTTTTTTCAAAAGTCGGATTTTTTTTTTTTCTATGAAGTTCTAGGTCGTAGATGAAGATGGTGGGTATGTAGTAAAGTTCTTTATTTAGTATTATGGTGAGAATATTTTCCCTCTTTTTTTAAATTCAACTAATAAAATTGAGCCCTTAAAGTTAAGATGTTGACACTTGAGGATTTTTGTTTTTTTTTACACTCACCACTGCATTTTGTTGGACAGAAAAGAAGTTTGAATTTATCCCGCAGCCCAGTAATTCTCAGTTCTGATCACACAATAGGGTCACCCATGGCATTTTTTTAAATTCAGGTACCTGACTCATCTTCACCCCAAAACTAAGACTTGGGACCTGAACATCTAAAAAGTTTTCAAAATTCCTGAGGTGATTCTGATTCCTTAACAGCGTGTTTTGAGTAATCTCTTACTGTCTTAGAGAAATGAATGGAGACAATTTTCCCCTATAAAGTTCAGTTAAAGCATTTCCAGGCTTCGTTTTTAACTTCAAATCAATAAAATACAAAGTAAATTTTATTTAATGCTTCCATCATTCTGAGTATATAATTTCTAACTTTACTCTGTTGAAATACTTTTGATACATTTTAATTTTATAAAACACTAAAAAATATTTTGATCTAATTATATTGGTTAAAATAGTAAAAGCTGTATTTTTTATTTAAATCTCCTAATGGTAGTGCCCTCAAAGCATTCTATATAATTAAAATTATTTACTGTTCTCAAGCTGGAAAAATATTTTTATCTGATTACCTTGATTTGTCTATAATGAAACACTACTTTTTCTTCTAAGTGATAACCTTTCTGTGTAGAAAAAGTATAGTTATCATTAAACTCTACACTGAATTATTTTCTTAAACACCGGAATTTTTTTTTTTTTTTTTTTTGGCTGAACCTTTCAACTTTGGCCTATTTCCTCATCATAAACAACACTACTCTATGATTGACTTTCAATTTTAAAAAATGTGAGCGTGTATATATTTACCAAGAAAAATGCAGGGAAGATATTTACCAAAATGCAATATAATCATTTCTAGGGGTGTTTTGTAAAGAGTGTGATATTCTGGATTATTAGAATGACTTCATTAATAATCCATTAGAATGACTAAGTTAATTATTCTTAAGAATGGGGAATAATTAACAGCTCGATTTCTTGTAAGGAAAGTCTTTCAAAAATTTAATAAGGATATTTTTTCTCATGTAAATTTTATTTTAAAAATTTAGCCTTAATAATTGGTTGTACAGTAGAAGGGAGGAAAATTGGTCGAACTCTATACTGACTGAAAAGTAAATCTTAAAACTCAGTTTATCGAATGCTTATCAATACGTTCTTATTCTCATATGAGAGTAGACTTTACTCCTGTTGACTCCTTTGGTTGTGTAACATCAGCAATATAAACTTTTAATCCTTATATTGTCTTCAATAAAGTTGTTTTTACTTTCATTATCTCTGACTGCTTTTAATTTTTTTAACTTTGTAATGAAACTTTAAACTTAGAGAAAACTAGAGAAATCATATAATGAATACCATAAAGCAGTGATTTCAGTGCAACAATTATTTTTGTTGTCTAATTTTTTCCTTTTTAAAGTAAACTGTAGCTATCACCTGTTATCTCTAAATATATAAGTATGTATCTCTAAAATTAAGGCAATTCCTTATGACCACAGAGCCATTATCATACCTAATTTTTAACATCATCTAATAATGCAGTGTGTAATCAAGTTTTCCCATTTTTCCCCCAAAATGTCTTTCTCAAGTAACATGTTCGAACTATAGAAAAAGTCAAACCAGATAAATCTTTGACTCTAGAACATCTTTTATCTTCTCCTTACTTTCCTTCATGGTAATGACTTACAAAACTTGCTAGATTTGTCTGAATCTTTATGGTATCATTTCATTTGACCCTGTCTTATCTGTATTTTATTAACCGGAAGTTATATCCGAAGGCTTGATTCAATTTGAGTTAAATGTTTTTAGCTTGAGTTTTGATTGAGTTGATGTATTTTATATTGTGTCACAGAGACAAGTAATTCAGAGCATTCTTTTTTAGCAAGACCAGTTGCTTGACAGCGTTTTATTTTCAAATTTAGAATGGTATGGAGAGTCTGTAGGGAGCATTATATATCCTTTAATAACACTTGTTTTCCTGGGAAGTATAGCTATCTTGAGTCATTTGGGCATTGTTGCTAGAGATTTAAGTCAAGTTGCATTTTTTGTAACCACAGGTAATCGTGAAATTTATCATTGCTGCTTTTAACACTCACCCTTCTTCCCATCACTGTACAATACTAGACTTCCTATTAACTAATCATGAATGGGCTTGAGCTATTTTGTTTTGAAGCTTAAAAACATATGACTAATTTATATTTCTAACAAAATTACGTTTAAAAATATGGGTCACTTTTGGAATGTATTACATTTATTTAACCAGGGCTATTTATTTTTAAGTAGGCTATGACAATTTAATAAGTAATTTACTTTAAAAATTCCGATATTCTGTGTATGATTAAAATAGCAAGGATCATCCAAAGTGTAGAAACATACCATATTAAGCAGAATTCCTTGGTCTTCGATTTAGTAGTGGCAATGGAGTTAATGATGTTTTTCTACTCTAAAAAGATTGCTTCCAACTTTTAAGCATTCTTTTAAGAATTTGGGAACTATGCTAATCATTAGTATGAAAAATTAACAAAATAAAATATTGACAATAACTTGTTGGCACACTCAGAGAACAAGAACATAACAATAAAGTTGGTCTGATTATATGTAGGAATAAAAATTTAGAATTATGTGGCTTAGCATCTGAATTCATTGTTCCATGTATGTCTGATGGAGCTTTTCTGCAACTGTCTTAAAGTTTAATTTTCTGTTTAATTTTCAGACAAGTTTCTTATTATACCTTTACATTCACTGATGCCTACGGTTAACCAGACACAGGTACTTTGTCAAATTTATTTATTCTATCTTTTAAACCAAGGCAGACTTAAAGGACTGCTTATATTGTGTGTTAGAGTGTGTGTGTGTGTGTGTGTGTGTGTGTGTTAAGGCATATTTTCAAATAATAATCCATATACTTTGCAAATGAGTCTTCGGAGGATGATTTTACAAAAACTTGAATGAGTTTTTGTAAACTTATCCACAAATGAAATTAGTTTTATCAATAGTAGGGAAAAGTTTAAAGATTGGTTTCACCAATAACTTGTTTGTGTTTCCTGAATAAAAGAAAATGGGTGTGTGAATACCAGTAAAACTCAACCTCGAAATTAAATACCTGCGACATACTACAGCTTGATATTTGAAGTTTTGATTTAACAAAATTAGTATATTTGCAGGTGTGAGATTTTCTGTTTTGTCAATGTATTATTATGGCTTGAGTATTTTGGCTCTGCAGATTTAGCGATTTCCTGAGTTAGAATGAACACTGCATTCTCAAAGGCAAGATGATTTTGTGGACTGCAGTATTTGTAGACCCTGGTGGGATGAGATAGATCAGAAAATCTACCTCTCCTTTTCTAGTTTTTCCACTCTTTTTGTAAGAAAATATCAAGACATTTTTTATTGAGACCCTTTCTGCTGGTACCCTAGTCCTGAGTAAGGCTCAGCCAACTGAATTAGATACAGAGTACATACCTGAGGGAAGAGAATAAGAGAGAACTCTTGATCCCAGAGACTGTGCAGCAGAGTATCAAATGCTGAAGGCACTTCTGGTTCTGACACTGTAACAGTTATTTATTCCTTTGCTAGATAATGTGGGAAACAACATTTTTTCTATTGATTACCATTTTTATACATAAGGGGATACGTTTATGCATTTTTTTTGCTTTACAGCCAAGTGGTGCTTGGTACATGTCTTTTTATCTATTTGGATGGCTTTGTCAAGGGTGATAATTGTTTGCAGGATTCAGCATTTGAAGAAGATTTTTTTTTAATCCAGTTTATCTCAAAAGCTAGTATATGGTGGGATAGGCAGCTAACATTCTTCTGATGAGTTGGGTGACTGCCTGATTGGTTAGTGTCCTTACCCATATACTTTTGAGTAATTCATAATTCTTATCTTTAAATTTCTCTTCCTCAAACGTTTGACTACGCAATAAGATGTTTATACTTGTCCAGTTTTTGTTTAAAAAATTCTATAAATTTATATCATATTTCATTTAAAATCTTGTTTGTGATAAGATTCTGATATCTGTGGGAGATTTAGTTCGGTTTACCAAAAGAGAATTTTTTAGTATCGAAAACGGTGGTATACCTTATAAATACATCTGTAAATATTAGATGCATATATATATACCTCAACAGATTGTGAGAATGATGTATCAGAAATTAGTGTACTTTTGGAGTTTTGATATATATTATTCTTACAGGTATTTAAAAGAACCCCTCCTGGTGTTCGGAAAATAGTAATTGCTACCAACATTGCAGAGACCAGGTAAAAATTGTTTTAAATATCAACCTAGTGATTACATTAATTTTGAGCCTGATAAGTTACTAACATACCATAATCATTTTCCTCTACAGTTACTTTGTAATTTCTTAAAAATAAATGTTTTAACTTAGTCATGGGTAGTGAGCATAGGTTTGTTTAGATTTATTTATTTATATTATTTAACCTATACTAACATTTTAGCCCTCTTCAGAAACAGCCTTCTAAATATTTTTCTAAAACTTTTTCTAAAGAACTATGGGAGCTGATGCCAGTTTTGTTCTATTTGCCTTTTGTTGTTGGGAATGGAATCGTTTGGTAAATTGGCAGTTAATTATACCCAGCCTTTAAAATGTATTGCCTCTCTTGGAGGTACTAATATACCAGTACAGCACTGAAACAGATTGTTCTGTGGAAGTTGATATTAAACTGTGACACTGGGGGGTAAGGGGCCCACAGAGCTAGGTACAAAGGTCATTATTGCAAGCTATGAAGTTTGGCTTTGGACAAATAAAAATTCAGCACGTGATCTGCAGAATTGTCACTGTGGTGCCCTACAGCTGCTGAGCTGCCTGCAGTGAGGTGCGTGATTGCCTAACACTGGTAAATGTGGAAAGAATGGTGAAAATCCTGAAGTGCTGAAATCAGTTTGAGCCAAGAAAAATGCTCTAAAATCCCTATCTGTAGACCTGTTACAGATTAATGTGCTTTTGATGTATTTTTAATATTTCATTTATCTGTCTTCCAAACAGCATTACCATAGATGATGTAGTTTTTGTGATAGATGGAGGAAAAATAAAGGAGACACACTTTGACACACAGAACAACATCAGCACAATGTCTGCTGAGTGGGTTAGTCAAGCTAATGCCAAGCAAAGGAAAGGTCGCGCTGGAAGGTGAGAGAGGCCTTCTTCTGAAGCCTTTAGGACTCAGAGATTTTATGTCTTACTTAACCTGTGTTGCCAGCATTTAAATATATTATTTGTTAAGAGAGTTTCACATTTTTAAAAACTTAATGTAGCACATTTTTAAATAGAAAGTTGTTTTAATCATAATTTCTTTGGAATTGTTTTATAATTTTCCTACCTCTTATTATTCAGTCCAGATAATTAAAATTAATATTCTTTTTTCTTAATGCTAATAAGTTATATTACCTTAATTTTGTTTCTTTTTTTAAAAGCACATTACTAATGATAATGATAACTACTAATCCTATTTGAATGTCAGATTCTCTCCTAACACTTTATATGTATTAACTAGCTTAATCCTCACCACAGTGCTGTGAGACAGATTGTTATCTCTATTTTAAGAGTAGGGAAATTAAGGTACAAAGAAATTAAATCATCCGTTTAAAGTCACACAGCTTTGTCAGTAGCAGCGTCTGGTTCCACAGTCTGGGCTCCTAATTCCTGTGCGATACAGCTATGCTGGTTTTTTATAATTAGTTACCGACAAAAACATGAGGAAAGTACCTTTTTTCCATTGATATCATGGTAGAATTAGAAATAAAAATATCCGTTAGGGAAATGATTTTTATTTAATACAAATAATTGCACTTATTCATTTCCATGCATACTTCACATATTTTTACACCCTTATTCATAGGAGTGGTAGAATCATATCTGGAGTTGTAGAAGAGTTTTTCTTTTGCTTCTTATGGATAGAATAAAAAGATTCCCATTAGTCTTCAGATTCTGGCTTAACTAAGGAAAGGAGAGTTTACAAGCAACCTTACAGACCATTTTATTTAAGTTTGTAGTGTATCTGTAAAGCTCCAACTCACTTGCTGTAATATTTGCAGAATATCAATAGAACTTGACCTCCAGGTAGTTTATTAGATTATTCAATTGATACTGTTGAGGCAAAGTCATGACTTCACCTACAAAATGTACTCTTCTAGTAGGTATTAGGGGATAACTTGGCTGGGGACTCAACAAGACTGAGGCTTTCCCATACAGACCTGTCACCTTGGATAACGATTTTAAAAGTATTCACCATAGTGAACGAGTTTTGGTACACTTTTGTATATGAATAGTACATACACTAGGCCTTAGAATTTAATCCATGAAACAATTATGGAAATTAAATAAATGAAGTATTACATTTATCTAACTTTATTCCCACTATCCTGGTGGAAGTTAACTGTGGAATTACAATGTTTTAATCCACATGGAAAATAGTCTCATAGGCTCCATAGATGTAGATTCCTTTAGCAAAGCCTAATTAGAGTGGTAATTATTTTGAAGGTGAGAGCAAACTATATTATGTGGTCCTCAGTGGAGGGGAGGCACTCTTAGTTTCTGCAGGCATGTTATATAATAGATGATAAGTTTTTGTAGGCTTGTGACAGAAATAGCTAAGATTTTTAGAATTTATTCCTATAGGAAAAGGGCTTCCTCCTCTTATAGTTACAGGAGCCCATAAAAATGTTGTTTTGCTTGAAAATACATGAGATGAATACCCTCACCTCTTCACATCTATCCTTAATATTGTCCAAAGAATATTATTCATGTCACTAGATGCCAACAACAAGAGAAAAAATTTCCAACATTCATCTGAGAGCTTACTAAATTTTTAAATAACATGAACAGGTTAACATATGTCAGGATTTGTTACATAAAATGCTCCCAAGGCATATAGAGATTAACCTAAGTAGACTGCTGTTACTGAGCACAGCAGTTAAGATTCTATAAGATAGAAATAGGGAACCACATTATTGGTGGGGGAGGGAATCTTCTGTTTCTTAAAGCTAGGGCATAGAGGTAGTGGATTTAAGGCTCTTCAAAACATTTGGGAAGAAGGGAATATATGATTAATAAAAATGAAATAAGTTACTTGCGATGTGGCTTGAAGAAGTAGATATTGGCTACTTTCTCTGCGTACTCTTCTCTGAAGTTCTAAAAAAAATCACTGATATGCTCCACCCACTCACCCCCCCTCTTTTTTTTTTTTTTTTTTAAAGAGTTCAGCCTGGTCATTGCTATCATCTGTATAATGGTCTTAGAGCGAGCCTTCTAGATGACTATCAACTGCCAGAAATCTTGAGAACTCCTTTGGAAGAACTTTGTTTACAAATAAAGGTAAATTGAGTGGGGGGTTTAAGAAACTAAATAGGGATGGAGTTCTCATTTTTACCGTGCATTTGTCTTCTGTGTGTTTTAGAAAATTATGTTTTTAAACTTCCTTCAAACATTTGTTTAAAAGTTTTTAATCACGTACTGCTCTAGAGCCAGATTGCCTGTTTGAATCCCAGCTCCTCCCCCGAGAAGCTAGTTTTGTTACATTGGGCAAGTTATTTAAATTAACCTCATATAAAATCATACTGGCATATAGTAGTGTTCAGTAAATGTTATCTTCTGTTACTACATTTTAAGATGTTATCCTTCTTTATAAACTATTTACAGTTTTTTTAAGTATGTTATATATTTTGTTATAATTATCCTAACTTATTTTGAAAATAATTGATAATCAACTTTGCTGAGATTTTAACCAACTACTTTTCTCATAAGTTTGTTGGGTGGTGGAAAGTAGTATATCAGCCTTTAAACATGTTTTTATAGAATCGCAAATATAATTTTAACTTAAAATAACTAACTTGAAAATCATGTATAGGTTTGATGCTTTACTCGAGTGAATGACACAGGCAAGACTAAGCTATTATGTCAATATATGATACATGTTTAACTATATTTGTCTCCCCCCCAGATTTTAAGACTAGGAGGAATTGCTCATTTTCTGAGTAGGCTAATGGATCCACCATCAAATGAAGCAGTGTCACTCTCCATAAAACATCTGATGGAACTGGTAAACTTGATTTTTTTTTAAAAGTCTAACTTAGATATAGAGTGTTACAGCATATAAGCCAGCTAATTAAAATATTTACTATCGTTACTGCAAGGTAGACAATGAATAATGAATGCTCAGTGCCAAATTTGATACAGATTTGGCTTTCCAGCTTAGTATATGAGATATAAATTAGAAAGTAATAAAATGATACCTTTGTGATGTTCTTACAATACCGGACCCTTTCCACACAATTTTTTTCATTGTAGGCCTGATTAAAATTACATAAAATTTTGAAATCTTTGACTTACTGGTCTTTGTCTTCGTTTGTATTCTTGAAATAAATTTGGTAGGTTGGTTCTATTCTTTCTGATTACCATCATATTGTTAGAGCTTTTGTCAAATTTAAGTAACTTACAACAGTATGGATATATGATTAAGGCAACTCTTATATTTTTAAGGAATACTAACAGGTGGTTTTTCTCCAAAATATCATATTCCCCTACTTGTCATTTTATTCTTATACCTTTTTTTTAGTTCTTTTTTATGAAGTCAATGTTTTGAGAAATGAGTTACAGTGTTTTGCCACTTAGTTAGTGGCCATCCATCCCTGCCCAAGACCATGTTGGGAAGAGGCACAGGTAGAACAAGCTGTGAGTTAGTGCCCAGAGTAGGGGGAAGGAGGGAGATTAGAGCAGTGATGTCTTCTCTAGCCATTAGCTACATGTGACTATTTAAAATTTGAATTAAATTACAAATTCAGCATTTCAGTCACGTTTCATATGTTCAGTAGGCACATGTGGCTAGTGGCTACCCTGTTGGACAGCACAGAAATAGAACATTTCTGTCATCGCTACAAGTTCTGTTGATTAGTGCTGGTTAGAAAATGCCAAAGATATATTTTACATATTTCAGTTTTATTTGAGCCATCCATGCAGATTACTTTGAGAATTTGGCCCATATCAGAACATTGCAATAGCTTTTAATGTGAGTAATAAGGTATTTAAATGAAAAAGCATTGTATATTACCTAACCATCTTTGTTGGAGTATAGATTAGATTTAATGAGGTTACTGGTATTTTAGTAAGTAATAGTTTCACTAATGATCTCTCTACCCTCTAGGCTTTTTATCTAATAGTATATTGCTGTAAAGAGCTAGATGGTGCTGAGAATCAACTTAATATTTATGGTAGAGATGGATGAGCAGACAGCTTGACTCAAGCCTGAGTGGGATGACTTCTCCTTTCCCAACTGAATTTAAGAGCTACTTTTAGCCATTTTTAGGCAACAAAATCGTGAAAAGGCCAGCACATTCTGGCCAACAGTAGGGTCTGGAGCCCACACTTAAAAACAAACAAACAAACAAAAAAAAACGCAAAAAAAAATTATTATTGTGAAACAGAGAACAAATAAGCAAAACAAAAACATCCAAGAATGATTTATTACAAAGAGAGCACGTGTAATTACTCCTGTCAAGGGCATCATTCCCGGTATCTTAAAAAAGCCTGGCTCCTACTCAATCACTTCACTGTCCCTCAGTCCCTAGGATAACCTCTGTTGTGACTTTAATGGTAATATCTGCTTGTTTTCCTTGATGATTTTACCATATAGGTACATATCTCCATAAAGAGCTCAATTTAACTTGGCTTGTTATGTGAACTTTACGCAAACTCACACAGGATGTAGAGGGTGTGAGGAACGAGATCCTCTGGTTTCTTTCACTTAACGTTGTGAAGTTGATCTGTATTATTGCTTTTAACTATTGTTCATTCATTTTCATTTCTTTACCATATTATATGACTTAAAGACATTTGGTTATTTCCAATTTGAGGCTATTACGGATAATGCTGGTAGGAATATTCTTCAATACTTAGTGTTTCTTGGTGCACATGTTTAAGTATTTCCTATGCATATATACTTATGAGTGAATTCACTGGTTCATAAGGTATATATATGGTCAACTTTGGTAGGTAACCCCTAACAACTTTCCAAAGTTGTCAAATCACTTTACACTCTGTCCTATGCCACTGGTAGATGAGAGTTCACATTGCTCTAGCGTCACCAGCCCTTGAAAATCTTTTATACATGCTGGTAGGTATGTAGTAGTTTTATGGTATTTTGTGGTTTTAATTTGCATTACCATGACTATTGAATTTGTGAGCAGCTTTTCATATGTTTATTGCTCATTTGGATAGCCTCTTTTACAAATTGTTGATACCTGTTTTTCTCTTAGGTTGGAAGAAATCATATACATTTATTTACTCTTGATATGAGCCTTTTGTCAGCTGTGTATTGCACATGTCTATATATTTACCTTTTCACTTTTTAATAGTGTTTTGGTAAATAGAAATTTCTAATTTTAATATAGTCAAATATATCAGTCTTTTGTTATTGTTCCTTGTCCTTTATCTACCTTGGAGTCACAAAGATAATATTTTAATTTTTCTTTTGTTTTTCATACTTAGATATATAATTTATCTGAAATTGATGTGTGTATCTGTGTATGGTAGGAGATAGGAGTCAGAGTTTTTACACACGTAGGTCCATTTGACCGAACACTGTAGAAAAATTTGTCCTTTCCTCTTTGTTCTGCATCCTTTGCCATCAATGTAGATAGTATCTAGATTTGTGTCTGTAGATTCTGTTCTACTCTATTGGTCTGTATTTTTATCTTGAGCAGGTGTTACACTACCTTAATTACAGTTTTGGGTCTTATCAACCAGAACATTAGTTATCCTATTTAATTAGGTATTTAATCTCTCAGTGTTTTATTTCTGTGTAGGGGCTTCCTACAACTTTTATAAAGATTTATTTTTTGGTTAGTTATACTTTGGGATTCTACTTTTTTTAATTTTTCATTTTCTTGTGAGTCTAATATACAGAAATGAAATTGGTTTTTGAATATTGACCTTGTATGCTGTGAAACCTGCTTATTCTAATAATTAAATGTAGATTTATAAACAGTCACATCTATAAATAATTGCAATTTTATTTATTTCCAATCATCTAAGACTCCCTAGTACAATGTTAAGCAGAAGTGGTATGATAATGTGCATTCTTGTGTTCTTGTTCTCAAAGGGAAAGCTGCCAACAATTCATTGAGCATGTCTGTTGAAGATTTTTTTTTTGTAGAAACTATCAAGTTAAGAAAGTTTCTATTCTTAGTTTACTTAGAGATTCTTATTATTCAGGGGTAATTGATTTCATCAAACACCTTTCCTGCCTCATGAATGAGATTATGATATGATTTTTCTATTTAATTTGTAATGTTTTGAATTAATGTGATTTTCCAAAGATTAAACCACCTTTCATTCCTTAAAATAAACCTGACTTGCCAGGATTCAATTTGCTATGATGTTGTTTTGTGTTTCTCATGCCTAAGATTATTCCTTAGTTTTCTTTTTTCCAAATGTCCCTATCAAATTTAAATACCAAGATTATGCTAATTTCAGAAAACAAGTTGGTAATATTATATACTTTTTCTTTTTTCATTCTCTGAGTTTTTGTAAGATCAAGGTTTTTTCCTCCATAAATGTTTAGAAGTCTGTGTCCGATGAGACACATAGGGTTTTTTTAATTTTTATTTTATTTTTCATATTTTCTTGTATGCCTAGTTATCTTAATTGTGTACCGGACGTTCTATCTACAAAATTCTTTGTAGATAAAAATTTAAAGGTTGGGGTGATGCTCTTTCCTTCAGGTAGGGAGGATTTATGTTGTTTTTGCCAGGGCAGTGGGCAGGGGAGGAAGCCCCAATGTTGGGCTCATTCCCCTAGACTTCCATCATTCCCCAAATCCTAGACTTGGAGTTCTTTTAATTCTTTTTACTGTATCTTCAAGCAGCTTTGCTAGCTGCGCTCATGGGGTAATCGGACCAAATTACCTAGGTAATCAGAGCAGAGGTCACTCCTCTTTTTCAGGGTTCTAATTAGATTCCCTATCTTGCTTTCCTGCCTTATGTTTCCTAACCTACTAGAATCAAGGGCTTTTGCATTGTAGATTCCAAATATATAATATTTCCTGAGGGGTTATTTTGTTTTATTTTTTCCGTCAGTCTTGCTGTGGGTTATTTTCTTTATCCGATTGAAGGTTTCTTAATGTGTTGTTTCTCTTCTCTCCTAACATTTTCGGTAAAGCTGAGATGTAGGTTAATCTAGTTTTTGTTTTGATCGCAAAATTTATGTTTTAGTGAAGAAAACTAAAACTAATGAGCAATACTAGGACATTTGGGCTTTTTTTAAGTGAACTAAAATTAGCTCTGAATGTATGCTTTACAATGTTTGTTTTAAACATAAACTCTTACTTTACAGAATGCTTTGGATAAACAAGAAGAATTGACCCCTCTTGGAGTCCATTTAGCACGATTACCAGTGGAGCCACACATTGGAAAAATGATTCTTTTTGGAGCTCTATTCTGTTGCTTAGACCCAGTACTCACCATTGCTGCTAGTCTCAGCTTCAAAGATCCCTTTGTCATTCCATTGGTAAGAAAGATACAAAGAAAAGGCTAGGCATTTTTAAATATACAAAGTAGTTGTTGCCTAGATACATTTTTCATTAGCTTTTTATTATTAGAATGCTCTCATATACCATCAGAGCAATTTAAGTTGCCTTTTTCTGTATTTTTTTAAGGGGAAAGAAAAGGTCGCAGATTCAAGAAGAAAGGAATTGGCAAAGGATTCTAAAAGTGACCACCTGACAGTTGTGAATGCATTTGAGGTAAAAAACTTGTTCTGGACTGTGACAGTTTATTCAAGTGCAAAGTTGATAATAGGAACATATTTAACTTTTTAAAAAATCTATATTATCATAGGTATCAGTAATTGCTATGTGAGAATGTTTACAATTAGGTGAACATTTGAAAAAAAGTAACATTACTTTTCAATTTTGTCATAGCTTAGTACATTTACCATTACATTTACCCTTTTGGGAAATAAGGCAGTGTTTTGATGACACTGGAACAAGTGAACGATTTATTTTAAAATTTTATTTAATGTTATTTACTTGTATCTTATTGACATTCATGACAGACGGTCTCTTTCTTTTCATTAATAAATTTAACTATATTCAGATTTAACATTTTGATGGAGTATCATAATCATATATATTATTCAGAATAGAGAGTTTCTGCTTCCAAGAGCCAGGCTTATCGGGATAAACATTCATCACTCATATTTGCAAAATCTAAATGTAATTTATTTGGTTTATAGAGACAACATCCTTCACTGTATTCTATACTCAGTTTTGTACTACATATTATGAGAAAGTTTATTTTCTCCTTGAATACATTCAGTATTATTTTTTTCTTTTTCCCCATCTCCCTTTTCTAGCTAAAAAAGAAAAAAAGCATATTCGTGAGGTTGAGAAATATATGACATTGAAAATTGTTCAACAGTGTTCTTTTTGAACAATACATTATGTATAGTATGATGTCATTTTGTCTAAAATACACAATAAATTACTATAGAACTTGTACTTATTTGTGAAAAGACCTAGAAATTCAGTGGTGGTTAGCTCTTAACTAGCATGTGGAGTTTTTTTGTTGTTTATGTTTTAGTTTATACATTTCAAAATTTTTTTATCTTTTTTACAAAAATGTCTGTAGAAGATTAAATTATTACCCAAAACAAAGAAGTAAGTGGTCTTTGCTTTGAGGAACAATGGTAAATATTTGTCTTCATGTCTTTGCCCAATAGGGCTGGGAAGAAGCTAGACGACGTGGTTTCAGATATGAAAAAGACTATTGCTGGGAATATTTTCTGTCTTCAAACACACTGCAGGTAATGATGAATGTTTTGAAGTGATTTTCGTATATGTTAGATTAGATAATATATGTATCAATTTTGTACAGGTAGATCTGTAGCAAAAAGCTGTGAGTTTGTCTTATGAAGTTAATCATTTTACAAAATGGAAGTAATCTTTATTAAATCAATTGCAACAAAACAGGAAAAGATGTATGATACAATAAACAAAAATAATGGCTAAGAAAAGACACAAGTCAGAGTATAGCAAGAAAACACAGTGAGGCTCAATTACTGTTCCTGTACCCACCCTCTAGTTGGCATTTTGTTGATTCAACCTGAAATTTTTCACTAATATTCCTAAAACCTATTTTTAAATATCAAGTAGGGTGAGTATCTTCACTTTAACTTTATATTTAACTGATACAGTGTAGTGAGAAAACACTGGAAAAGAGGCATTTGTGAAATGGAGGGAAGTCAACAATACATAGGGTGGATGCACTGAATTGGAGAAGTGATTTCAAGCCAATGGGAATAGGAATATCCTCACCTTTCACATTACATGCATGTGGCATAAACCCTGGTACTGGACATTTAACAGATCTACAAGGGGTTAAAAGAATCAGGAATCTGGCATGTTTCATTAAAAGTGCCCAAACATTAACAAAATAAAAATAAAGGTTATGACATCTCTGAAAGACTATAGCCAAAGGAAAAAAGGAATGGAACACAGAATATCTCAACAAAATATCTTACAACTGCTTCATAGTAGGAACTATGAATTCAGTAATATAAAAATAATTAACCAGTAGAATGAATGAAAAGACTGCTGAGCCAAGAAAACTTAAAGACCAAAAGAATTATAAGGAACAAAATGGATACCCCTTTAAAGCAAATTATTGCCATAGAAGAAAGGCTTGAAGTTATCACAGTTTATAGATGCAGATGCAAAAGAAAACTATTATAGCAATAAGTAAAAAGCTTGTAGACAGGAAGACAGGACTGATCCATCCTGAAGATAATAGGTGTCTATACATAGAAAATTCAAGTGTGATTGAATATGAATCCAGAGAGAAGTATAAGAACATTTTCCTGAAAAAGAAAAAAATGAAATGAACCAAAAGTATGAAAAGATGGCTGAATCCAAGTGTCATTTGAGAATACTGTATTCAATCAAGATATTAATTCAAGTATAAAGGCAAAGGACAAGCATTGAAGAAAATACTTGAAATACTGTGTTCATGAGCTGTTCTTGAAAAATTCACTGACAGTGAAATGCTGCCTATTAAGAGATGAATCAAAAAGAATTCAGGAATGGAGAGTGCATGCTGAATCAATTGGTGGTGTATCCTGAAATTATTTAAATAGAGAACAAATACAAAACATGAATTATGGATACAGAATATAAAGGTTATTATCTTGAAGAATAAAAATAACGATAATAAAAACCAGGAGATGGGTCAAAAAAGTCAGTAATAATAGAAATGAGATGGGGGAAACTAAAGTCACACAATTCATAAAAGGAAGATATACTGAAAAATGACCAACTTTATGTTTCATATTCTCATTTAAAGATTACAAGGAAACTTTATTAAATATCTTGTCATTATGAAAAAGATTCATCTAGTTTCATTTCTAACTTATTTTAAATTGAACTAGAATTAGTGTTAATACTTTTATAAAACAGCTTCCGTACTGTTGTTAGGGTAGCATTTCTGTCTTAATTCTGTCAGCATACTAAGTGTCTGCGGTATTGTATCTTAGTTAATGATTTTTCTGACAATATTGAATTTAGGGAAGTCTATTCTATATTAATAAGTTATATATCATTTTTACCCAAATAGTGATTTTTCTTAAAAAAGCAAAACAAAAAACAGTCCTTTCATTTTTGTGCCAACTCACAACAATAGTTCATTCTCAGTAGTAGAGATATGGACATTGGTTATTTTCTTTATGCTTTTCTATATTTCTTTTGAAATATGGGGTGGAGAGCAATTTTGAAAATTATATTAATCTTTTTGCAAAATAGAGTGATCCTAAAACATAAGTGGTTATTTCCTACAATAGGCAAACTTTTTCTATAAAAGAACAGATGATAGCATCATAGGCTTACAGGCCATATGGTCTTTGTTGCAACCACTCAACTTCTGCCATTATAGTGCAGAGCAACCATAGATAACATGTAGATGGGCATGGCTATGTTCCAATAAAATTTTATTGACAAAAACAGGCTTTTATAAACTTGTGGTTTACCAACCCCTGCTCTTAACATGTCACATTTTTGAAAAAGTATTTCATAAAGCAGGGAAAACTCATAGATAAATTTATTTATGGGTATATGCTTTATAAACCCCATAAATCTGTGAAAGGTACTCCAGTTCTATTTGTTACCATTGCTCCCTAGATGCTGCATAACATGAAAGGACAGTTTGCTGAGCATCTTCTTGGAGCTGGATTTGTAAGCAGCAGAAATCCTAAAGATCCAAAATCTAATATAAATTCAGGTAAAGCAGAAAACACAGTGTAAACAACTCGCTGCTGTTGTCCGTTGTATCAGTATTTTACTTTTTTTTCTCTACCTTCCCACCCCTAATAGATAATGAGAAGATAATTAAAGCTGTCATCTGTGCTGGTTTATATCCCAAAGTTGCTAAAATCCGACTAAATTTGGGTAAAAAAAGGAAAATGTAAGCATTGAAGATTATTATGCATTATTTATAATTCTCTCCTTAAACTTTTGGAATCTTGTAATGCAGCAGGGCATATATTTACATTTGTTCTTGTTCCTACTTGGGCCACATTCTTTTTCTTTACTTTTGTTCATTTGAGAGGAGGCAGGCCGTTTAACAGAGGCATCGCTTTTCCTTACAGCGCATCTCCGGAGTTAGCTCTCCATCACCCGTTATTCACAAAGAACGTTAGTAAAATATAATAGCAGTGTAAATATGAGAAAAGTAAGGCCGCTATTAAAATCCAGCGCCTGGATAGACATTGCTTAGAATAGATTTTGTTCAGGTTATTTTTTGTCCTCTTCAAGAACAGATAATTTTATAATTGATCTCTTTGAATAAAATTGTTTTTTCACTATTTTGAAAAATAAAATGTAACTTTTAAATATATGTACAAATAGAGTCAGCCTCAGTAATAATACCAAGGCACATTTTGCCTAGTAAATGAGCTAGTGAGGAAACAATCTGAAAGTCACAAATGGCTAGTGGTAAATGAATTGTTGCCACCTTTTTGGAGGGCACTGTTGATGAGAATTATATATCAAGTCATTGAAATAGTCAGTGGCCCAGTAGATACATAAGAGAATATTTTAATTTGAGGCATATGTCCTAAGCAAGTAATTCCAATTTTTTTTTTTAAAGCTGTATGGTAAATAGATGTATAGTAGCAGTGGGACAATTATGGTTTTAAAATACTATATTATATGGCATTTCTGTTAGGTGGGAATATAAAACAGCCATTGTGTGGTAATGTATAAAATATTTAAACTGATAGTAAATGAAAAAGTTGTATACTCTATGATTGTAAACAAAAATTATATAGACCTCAGAGATAAAGTGCAGACATTGTTCTAGGGCATCAGTTCTCAACCCAGGTGATTTTGCCCCTTGGGACATATGATGGTATCTGCAGACAGTTGATTATTGTAACTAAAGGAGTACTATGAGCATCTACTAGGTAGAGGCCAGGGTGCTGTTCTACATTGCAGAGGACAGCAACCCCCCGCCCCCCACACAACAAAGAATTAAATGTCAAAAATGTTGATGCTGGGAAACCCCGTTCTCAGGTATAAGCTTATGTTTAACATGAATTTTAATCCTTGTGGCTGGATTATCTACATTTTAAGTGATCCAAGTGTTTTTTGACATCAGTACTTTGTCAAATTCTTCTCTATATCTATCCCCAACTTGACAAGTAGCTTAACAGAAAGACTCTTTGAATGTAAACATTTTATATATCCCTCTGCCATCCTGGGAAGGCTTAACAACAACAACAAAAAATGCCATTCTCTTTGGATTGGTGCTTTGTTTTGGTCTAGACCAGGGATCAGCAGATTTCACAATAATGGCCAAAAGCTTGTTTGTGTACATTTTTATTGGAACACAGCCACACCTGTTTGTTCACATGTTGTCTGTGTCTGGTTTCCTGCTACTCTAGCAGAGTTGAGTAGTTGCGACAGAGACCATAGGGCCCACAAAACCTAAAATGTTTTCTCTCTGGTCCCATACAGAAAAAGTCTACCAAACTCTGGTGCTCTAGTGATGTAGGATTGCAAGATGGCATTGGTTAAATTTATTGTTCAGTGAGGAAAAATAATTTCTGATTTTATTCTGAATAACTCAAGACTGTGATAGAAGTATTATTGATTCCTAGAAGCACAAAAAGGATACTCTTAAAAACAAATAGGAAGGATTAATGGATTATCAGCTTTTATGTTGTCTAATTATCACTGATTACTTAAAACCAACAAACATCTCCCTGTTAAATGATACTAGTTAAAAACTCCTACAAATTGAGGTAAAAATTTTCTGACTATCAAATAAGAAAAGACCCCTAGGAATGAAGAGACTGAACTACAGCTGTGTCAGACTACAATTAAATTGTTCTACGTTGTCCTGTTTTGAAATGGAGGATTCGAGTGAACATGAGACCATTTAAAACATAGAGTAGGTTTTTAAAAATCAGTTGTAGCTAAATACTCTTCTAAACAAAATTCTTAATTTTTTATTTTATATTCATCTGGGTGCATAACTGAAATTTTTTTAATTGATCATTTCACAAAGTTATTCTGTAAATTGAGAGCTATGTGTTAGTATCATGATTGACAGTAAAGTACATAGACTATTCTCTTGATCTGAATCACTTTGAAAGTATTTTAGCTATTTCATTCTTTGTCCTCTAGTGGTATAGTGTAAACCTAATTAAGGAATATTTTACCTAATATATCGAGTAATTATACCTTCAAGAAGAGGATGATTTATGAAGTATTCATATTTAGCTGATATTTTTCCATGTTTTATTAAAATAAAAATTTTCCTCAACTATAAATTCGTAAATGTAAATTGCAAAATTGAACTCATCTGTGGAGCTTTTTTAGATTCTAGAGTTGGTTTGGAATTTCCCAGATTTTTTTTTTTTTAAGTCTACATTTTAACTTTTTTAAAGGGTGAAGGTTTACACAAAATCCGATGGACTAGTTGCTATTCATCCTAAATCCGTTAACGTGGAGCAAACAGAGTTTCACTACAACTGGCTTATCTATCACCTGAAGATGAGAACAAGTAGTGTAAGTCAATATTCAGAGTGATCATGGATCTGAATATCAGTCGTATATTTTTATAATTGTATAGTTATTAAAACAAAATTTTCTCTCTTTAAACATTTTTTTCTGACATGAATTATAACTTCCTTAAGCTAATAACCTATACTTTTAATTTGCAGGTCTGTCATGTTTGATTTTTGTATTTTAATTAATTGGTAGTTATTTGATTTGCTTAATTTTTCTTCAGCGCCTGCTTTCAAGAAATACTGGCATTTTTTTGTTAAACAGGAGTTTATACTGTACAAAGAATTTTGTTGGCTATATGGTTATATACCTTATAAGTATTAGTCAGAATGTTGTTTATATATAGATGGAAATAATTTCAGCTATATTAGTGTTTTGATATTATCACTCAAAATATTTAAAGACTAATACTATTTGACTTGAAACAAAAATAAAAAACCGTCCTCTGAATTAATGAAGAATATCTCATTTAAAATATTTCTTCAAAATTAGTCTATAGTAACACTAATATGATAATACCTATTGTAAAAGGATTGATACTTATAGATTGATACTGGCGCTATTATTGAATTAATGTGGCAGTAATTCAGTCTCCTCTCTGTGTTCATTTGTTTTAATTCTCATTCTAGATATACTTGTATGACTGCACAGAAGTTTCCCCATACTGTCTCTTGTTCTTTGGAGGTGACATTTCCATCCAGAAGGATAACGATCAGGAAACTATTGCCGTAGATGAATGGATTGTCTTTCAGTCTCCAGCAAGAATTGCCCATCTTGTTAAGGTGACTGTCTTTACATGATTGTCTTTGAATCTGCCTGCAACTTAGTATGTGGTCTTCTGAGTTTGTTCCAAGTATTAAATATCTTATAGTAAATGTTTCTTAATATATTTCAGCAGAGCAAATAGTGTTGAGAAATTGACGCATTGCTTTTCCAAATTGTTTTTTGAGGTAGTGACCAGCCATTGTAAATGTCTTGAGTATGATGGAAATTTGAATTTTCTAATTTTACAGTGCTTAAGATGGCTACTTATTAGTTGCTCACTAAATATTTGTCTTTTGTATAATAGCTTATGAAGTTCCTTATATCTGCTAAAGTCACTTTTATTTATTAAATTGTATGGTGGTACCTCCGCCTTTGTTGAACTTGTGTAATTTTTCCAACCTTAGGAATTAAGAAAGGAACTAGATATTCTTCTGCAAGAGAAGATCGAGAGTCCCCATCCTGTAGACTGGAAGGACACAAAATCCAGAGACTGTGCCGTACTCTCAGCTATTATAGACTTGATCAAAACACAGGAGAAAGCGACTCCCAGGAACCTCCCGCCACGATTCCAGGATGGGTATTACAGTTGACAGCTTTCCATCGTGGTCTGAAAAGCCAATCCGACGGGCATTTTCCATCATAGTTTAATTTTGGACTAGATGCCAAACCCTGGAATATGAATAATTTCCAAGTGTAAGGTAGAAAACATCAGTAGGCAGTAAGACTTACTGTGCACGAGTTAACGATGTTATCTGTAGCACTTATAAATATACCATAAAAAACAATATGTTCTCTGATCACATACTTTTTTGTGGTCATGTCCACACTTAGGGAGTACTTGAGAAATTCCTTCGTTACAAAAAAAAAAAAATTGATCTTTCTGCTTAATTACTGAGTATAGAACCAATAAAACAGAATGGTTAGCCAAAGAACATTGTCAAGTAGAAATCTGAAAACAGCCATGTTTTTCAGATAAATGAAACATCTATCAGAAGTTCATTTGTTGTAATAAAACCCAGTATTTAATAAAATGTACAGTATGTAAAGCTCAGCTAACTTTTTGGCTTGGTTTCTACATCTCCACCTCTCTTGGTTTGATGTTTTTTATCTTTTTAGAATATATTTGTACTCCTTTTACATCACCTCGTGCAGCATAATGTAGCAGTTGAGAGCATGAGTTTGGAGCCTGACTACCTAAGTTCAAATATGTTTTATATATGTAAAGGATATAGACTAGTGGCTGGCACGTAAAGCGTACTCTCTAAATCTTAGTTATTATTTGTCCCTGAAAAATTTTTTGACAACCACTTATATTACACTTTTTCCCCATACTGTGGTGCTATTTTATCCTCTTGGCCAATGGAAGTTTGTGTGTTATGTACTGTGTGTTGTTTTAAGCCCTGGCCAGTCGTGACAGATACTGTCGGTTACTATCCATCAGCTGTCTTGTCCTTCCCTCTTCGCTTGCTTGTTCAAGTACCCTGTGCAGTCTTGTGCCCGAGGATGTCGTGCCCTGCAGTCTAATTCCTCTCGTAAGTAACTGATCAGCCATGAATGTGTAAACCTGTCCTGGCCATTGGCAACTGAGATCTGCAAGGGGCATCTGAGAATGAGTTTCCTCACCCACAGACTTAGAGGAGGAAATCCTGCTTCCTTCTTTGGAGATTGTCTTATCTGAATCTGGCACTCAACTGCTACAGCCATTTTATGGTCAGAGGGTTGCCTCAGTGGGAAGGAGAAAACCATCAGAGAGTCCTTGATCATGCTAGTGAGCTGCTGAATTACTCAACTCAAACTGCCTCACCTCCCCACCAATGACTTATTTTGATATAATAAACCTTTCCTTGTTTTAGCCACTTTTTGTAGGGTCTTTTGTGTAACGTGGAAGGAAGCATATTAGCTGAAACACATTTATCATTGAGCATCCTTTGCTGAGGCCTCTTTTTACCATTTATTTTGTGATCTTAGAGTTTGACCTGTATGTCTGACAAAATGTGTAAAAGTGGTAGTACTGGACATATTGCAAAAAGAAACAGGAAGAGCATTCTGCTGCACCCTAAAAACTATGTATATTTTATTGTGCCTTCCAATAAGTCCAAAGAAACCAAAGGAAAAGAATGTCGTACAATGACTGGATTTACTGATAATGCTATGATGATCTGTTAACAGCACTGGTTCAGGTACTGCTTAATTTCTGGGACTATATGTCAACCTATCATTGTCTTCCAAGATTTTGATTGTACTGTGTGTCTTAAGTCCATTCTCTTAGCTAGACTCCCAGCAGTGACCTGTCTCACTGAATTCTTGCATTGAGTCGTATCACAACATTGTAGCATATTTTATCCCTTTATTCAAGGTGACCGCGAGGTCCTATTTGTTCTAAAGAGCATGACTTTCATGATTTTTTTTTTTTTCTTTTATTATAGAGTCAGTTGGCCAAAATGGCCTTGGCAGAAAGCATTTTTAAAAATATGTAAAAATGGATTACTAGTTAATTGGTTCCATGTTTGCAAACCAATATTTAGTCTCTATATAAATGGGGAAATGTTCCTGAAGAGTTGTTTAATAGAAGAACTAGTCAAAGAAGTGAAGTACTTATTGTCACTCCCAATTTATGTCTCCTCTACAGCTGATCAGGATGGGAATTTTAATTGAAGGTGCTATTTATGTTCTCTCTCTTTTGTTTACAAAATAGGGTGTTATTGAGTTGAAAATGTATTCCAGGTCTGGGAACTATTTGTCATTTAGTAGTTTTAAAGAATAAGACATTAAATTAAGAAAAACGATTTGCCTCACCATCCTGAGTAATAGTGAGGATATTAAAGGATACTTGAATAAATAACCTTGAAACAGAAACTTATGGGGGGAAAAAAAACAAAAGAAGTAAAGAAATCACTGAATGATCTTTAAGATGTCTTGGAAACGTGAGTCCATATGACTCCTTCCTAATTCTTTAAGTAGGCGATATCTTTATACCAATTATTACAAGTGGTTTACTGCATTTTTAAAACAAAGTTCACTCTAAAAGTTAGGAGTTACAGAAAAGCTTCAGAAAGAATTTATTTTAGTACCCTCTTACTGAAAATAAATGGTAATTTCCTTTCCACTTTTTAGCTCTGAGTTTGTGTATATTTATTTTTATGAAATTGTGATCATGTGGTATAATCATATTTATAACATGCTAGTTGTTTTTAAATACATTTTTATTTTAAAATACATCCTCATTGTAGAATATTTAGAAATATTGTAGAATATTTAAAAAAAAGCATGTTACCCATTTTGATATATTTCCATACTCTTTAACATTTAAGGTATTATTGTATATAATAAAATTAGCCAATTTGAGTGTATAATTCTGTGAATTTTGTCAAATGTATAAAGTCATGTAATTGCTACCACTAGAATTTTGATATAAAACATCCCCACCATCTGAAAATTTCTCATTTCCCTTTTTAGTCAGTCCGCAGCTCCCACTCTGTCCACTGGCAACCAGATCTGCTTTTGGTCATCATTGCCATTACTAGAATTTCAAATAAATGTTACCATATGTAATCTTCTGGCTTTCCCAGAAGAACATAGTGCTTTTGAGACATTTATGTTGTTGCATGTATCGGTAGTTCCTTTTTTATTGTTTAGTAGTAGTGTACTGTGTGGTTGTACCAGTTTGTTTATACATTCAGCAGTTGATGGACCTTTGAGTTTGCTATTATAAATAAAGCTGCTATGAACATGTGTATACAAGTCTGTGTGTCAATATATTTTCATTTCTCATGGGTAAATACCTGTGATCAGGACTGTTGTGTCATATGGTAAGTGCGTTTATAAGAAACTGCCGAACTGATTTCCGAAGTGGGTGTACCATTTTACACACCCACCAGCAATATGTGATGATTCAAATACTTGCCAGTATTAGTATTTTTAGTAATTTGTTGTTGCTTTGGTTTTTAGCTTTTAGTGGATGTGGAATCAGCTCATTGTGGTTTTATTTTCTGTTTCTATAATGATTAGTGATGAACATTTCATGTGCTTATTTGCTGTCTTCCTTAGTTTTCTTATATTCTTCTATATGTCTTTTGATTTTCCACTTCATACATTAAGTAACAGGGGGTGTTAGGGATATAGCTGACCAGGAGGAGGGAGGAGGATTCTTTATGGATTTTAGAGATGCAGAAAATTTCATTGACATTGAAAATGGCAACATGTTCCTTCCACTCTTCAATTGGTTGGTAGATGTTGAGCTAAGCCACTGTTAGTCAAGTGCCAGAAGAGAACAGCACGCAGTTTTAGGAGACTGTGATGTCAAGTGGTTGTATATTCACCATGAGGTCAAGGATAGGGCATGAGACATTTCCTGATGTGGGAAAGGCATGGGAGCTGAAGGAACATGTGATGTGGAAGCACCACAGAGCCAGCCTTTAACTGTAGATGATGGAATCCCACCCATCCCAAGTGAGTTAGGGCACTTCTTTTAAATAGTGACAACCCTTTTTCTAGTTCATAGTTTTTGATTTTTAATGGTCTGAAGTGAACTCTTTATTTTCAAGAAGAAGACATCTATTTCTGAGTCTGCAGAGTATATTATGTTACTTTCACACAATGAAGGCAACTTGGTGGAAATAAAATTCATTTTAGCAAAGCTTTCATCCTTGGTGATTTCTCTTTTTCTAGGCCTTTTAGCTGTACGCCTTTTAGGTATTTCTGTGCTTCTGCCATAGGCTTCCATTCAACTCATTTTATTTTAACAAGTATTTCGTTAAATTATTTGATTATTTTTCATTGTTCTTGGAAGCTAATTTTTTATTTTAAGGCAAAGATGGTCGAACATTTTTGTGGAGTCTGGAATAAGAATACAAATGGAGGCCAACATACCAGAAGTCTAAATATTTTTAAATTTTAAATCAGTTCAGCAAACTTGGATGAAATATGTTCTATCCTGACACATTCAGAATGACAAAATAATAAATGGCATAAAACTATGTTTTTTTCTGCAAGTGAAGTCCAGCAAAATATCGAAGATGACTTCTGGCTCTAGTTTGCTGAGAGTTTTCCGAAGTATTTTTGTAAACATGCTTTTTGCATCGATTGATATAACCATTTTTTTTTTCTTCCTAAACCTGTTAAAATAGTGGATTGATTTATTTTCAAACATTGGACCAGTCTTACATTCTTGGAATAAACCCCACTTGTTTGCAGTATGTAATTATTTATATATATATTCCCGGATGTGATTACATATTGCTGGATATATTTTAAGATTTTTGTTCCTGTTTATGAGGGATACAAATCTATAGTTTTCTTTCTGTGAGACAATGCTGGCCTCATAAAATGAATTGGGAACTGTTGCCTCTCTTTTCTGGTTTCTGGAAGACATTGTATAAAATTGGTGTTAATTCTTTAAATGTTCAGAAGACTTCAGTGAAACCATCTGCACCTGGTTATTTCTTTTTCAGAAGTTTTTAAATTAAGAATTAGTTAAAAGAATATTTAGGGTTTTGGTAGTTTGTAGTTTTCAATGAATTGGCCCATTTTGTCGTAAGTTGTTGAATATTCAAGCTTTGGCCATTATGAATAAAACTGCTATAAATATTTGTGAGCAGATCTTCGTGGGGACATAGTTTTCAACTTATTTGAGTAAATACCAGGCAGTGTGATTGCCGCATCATATGGTAAGCATTTAAGCATTTAGTCCTGTAAGAAACTGCCAAACTGTCCTCCCACTGGCTTTTGCATTCCTATTGGCAATGAATATGAGTCTCTGTTCCACATCCTCACCGGTATTTGGTGTTGTCAGGGGGTTGGATTTTAGCCATTCTAATAGTATATTGGTAATATCATTGTTTTAATGTTCAGTTCCTTAATGATGTATGATCTTGAGCATGTTTTTACATGCTATTTGCCATCTGTATATCTATGGTCAGTTTTCCACAACTTTGCCCATTTTTAAATTGGATTGTTTCCTAATTGTTGTTTTAAAAGTTCTTTTGTATATTTTGTATGACAATCCTTTATCATATGTTTTGCAAGATTTCCTCCTCTCTGTGGATTGTCTTTTCATTCTCTTTTTTAATGAAGTTCAGCTTACCAATTTTTTTCTCACATTGATCACGCTTTTGGTGATATCATCTCCAAACCCAAGATCACTTATATTTTCTCCTACTTTATCTTCTAGTTTTATAGTTTTTCATTTTGCATATAGGTCCAAAATTCCAAATAGATATTTCTTTTATTTTTGTTATTGATTTCTAAACTATGTTGTAATCAAGAGAACTCACTGTACAACTTCAAGCCTTTAAAATTTGTTGAAACTTTTAGTACCCAGGAAATTTTGTGAATATTCTATGTGTGCTTAAAAAAAATGTGTATGCTGAAATTGTTGCAGTGCCCTATATATGGCTATTACGTTGCTATTCAAATCTACTTTCATTGATTTTTATCTACTTCTGCACTTTTATTTTTTATCTATTTTTCCTATCAAGTGAGATGTGTATGTTAAAGTCTCATGATTTGGGATTTATTTCATATTTCTGCCAATTTTTGCTTTATGTATATTGATCGTATTATTGGGAGAATATATATTTAAAATTGTTATATCTTTCTGGTTAAATGAACCTTTCATCATTATGTAGGCTTACTATCCCTAGTCATATCTTCTATCTGAAAGACAATTTTATCTTATATTGACATAACTACGTGTTGTGAATGTTGTGATGGCCCAGGTCTTCTGCCAGAACTGATGGACTTATTCCCTGAGTTGCCGGAAGTGCTACCAGATGACAGCCTTCACCATTCAGCCCTCTACAGGAAATTGTCCTCAGCTGAAGGGAGTCACCTTTCCCAAGGCCATTTCCTCTTTCCGGGAATCCATATCCTGTGACTGGTCAGAGCAGGGTTATAAAGGCTAAAGCTCCCTCTCCCTTCTCCTCTGGGACTCCAATTAAACTTTTGCATTCTCCATATCTCTTCTCTCCATGCTTCCTTGTAGGTTTCTTCTAGCCTCTCAAGTAGTTCACCAATATCTCTTTTAACAATTTAATCTGCTGTTAACCTAGTTTCATCATTTCTAGTTTTTTTCTGTCACTTCTTGTAGTTGTTCTATATTGCATTTTAAAGTTTAGCCTTATCTCTATAAACATAGCTATTATTATTATTATTATTATTATTATTATTATTATTATTTTGCCTTTAATGATTTCAGTATCTTTAGTCCCTGTGAGTGTATCAATTTTTTTTGTGTCATGATGCTGTGTTTCAGAGTATTTTTTAGTGAACCTTTCATTTGAGAACTTGTTTTTGGAAGTAATTGAGAACTAAGATGATGCTAGATTCCTCCAGAACGAGGTTTTGTTTCCTTCTGTCAGGACGTTAGTATTCTAGAAGTCCAAAGAGTGAAGCTGGAGGTCTTCCAGATTTACATACTCACTCCAGAGTAAGCTCTCTGGGGACTCAATGCACAACAAGGGAGATGAAGGTAAGCACTAAATTCCGACCTGTATTTATCACTGCAAGTCCACCAGGTACTTCTGCCTCTCTGCTGCTTTCCAAAGTCCAGGGAAGAGGCACCAATGCTTTGGGATAGAGGATGGAGCAAAGAGAGGGATGCATCTACTACTTCCAGGGATGGTACTCTTCCATCCACTAGCTTGAGAGCGAAAATCCAACAGAGGCGCCTTTGATCAGTGTGTCCTCTCACGTGGCTGTACTTTAGCTGCAAGAGATGCTAGGAAACTTGAAATATCTAGCATTTTAAGGTTTTACAGTGGGTAGAATTCTAAGATGACGCCATGATCTCTGTTCCTTTGATATTACATCTGTGATTATGTTCCGTTGCATGACAAAAGAATTTTGCAGGTCTAATAGAGGTCCCAAACTAGCTGATTTTGAGTTAATCATTAGGGAGATTATCCTGTAGGTCTAATATATCAGTTCTTTAAAAGCAGAGATTTCTTTTCTCCCCAGCTGGTAGCATAAGATGGGAGTCAGCGAGATTCCACGTGTGAGAAAGATTCAACGTGCCACTGCTGCCTTAAAGATGGAAGATGCCACATGGTGAGGAATATGAACAGTTACTAGAAGCTGTGAGTACCATCCCTCACTCCCACTGGCAGCCAGCAAAGAAACAGGGATCTCAGTCTTATAATAACAAGGAATTAAATTCTGTGAATAACAAGCATGAGCTTGAGAGAAGACATCAAGCTCCAGCTGAGAAAGCAGCCAACAACACTTAGAGTCTGTGAGACTCTAAGCAGAAAACCCAGCCATGCCATCCTGGACTTCTAACTACAGAACTGCGAGATAACAGATGAGTGTTGTTTAATGGAAAAAGAACACCAATATAGAAGAAACCATTCTTTGCCTTCCACCAAGATTCACAAGGTGGTGAAGTTTCACAAACACAAAGGTTCAGATATTGGGTGGCCAAAATGATCGATAAGACATGCTCCAGGGGTCAGCAGCAGTTAGGGAACTATGAATTATTTAGGAAGCTATTCAGTCGTGCAGTTTTGTGGAAACTATGAGAAAAAAAACAGCATGGCCCAGATCTTAAATGATCTTAAAAATGCTCCAGCCTTCTGGGGCAGCTGACGCCAACATGTATCCAAAGAGGAAAGATTAGTCCCCGTCAACGTTAGCTACAGATACCTTTCGAGTAGAACTCTGATTTGGCCAAGAAGTCAGCAAACTGTATACTTAAATGCATGCAGCCTACGACAAATTAAATCACATCAGCACAAAAGAACAAGTATGTACAAAACCTTTATAAATTCACATATTTCACAAAAAGTGTACTAGCAGTCTCTATTCATGGGGACAAAAATGAATATTTTTCTCCACAGGTCACTGAATGAAATCATGGTACAATTCAGAGAAGCTATTCACAGAAACTAAACTAGGTTGGAAAACAATACTGTGGTATGGAAAAAGGACAATTCATGATTAAACTTAAAACATTGTGAATGTGTTAAATAACTGCCATAAAACAACACTTTGCCTAGTAACAGGATTAACCTGCTCGCTAAATAAGGCTTTGCTTTATAAGATGCGCAGACTTCCAAAACTGTTTAACATCTCTGCTTATAAATTAATTCACAGGATTTGTATGGCTGCTTTTTAGCTCCAACTGGGTATTAGCAAAAATAGTACAAAGTGACCCCTTTGCAAAGCAACAAATTTACCTTCCTTTCTAAATGAAAAACATCACATTAGATTGAATTTCAACTTGTTAGCCTCTCCTCCAAAAAGTTTGTGGCATTAAAGAGGAGACAGACTTGTTTTACCAATCCCGAGACATTCTCCCTGTGGCTCACTGCTATTACTTCATTGACAGACTGGCCCAGACCTTAGGGAACTGAGGGCCTGGCATGTATTTTACACCCAAAAATGGATGCAGAGAGAAAAAGCCATCCAGAGGTGAGAAGGCCCTCCCTGGCTCGCCGAAGTGGTAGAGCGCGGGGCATATAAGCCAAGTATACTTACCTCTGCACTGGGCTTCTGCAACTTTATTCACAATTTAGTAACCAGTCAGCAGACAGTATCTGGGACATGGCACACACTGATCTGAGTCCTTGCATAATGTATCCTTTGCCAGGTTTTATCTCTTTGTGGAAGAGAATAGAGAGGGAACATAGCTACCAGTAAAAATCACTTCTGCCCTCTCAGTGTTCCAAACCAGCAATTCCCTCTTTACGAAACATTGCTTTTAACATGACATCTCTGTCTCCTTGAACCATAGGAAAAAATAAAGTTCTGCAGACACCTGCAGTAAAGAGAGACTCCAAACCCAGCAAGCGAGGCCATCAGTGCAAATAAAAGGGGTTCCCAAAATGTTATGTTTCAATTAAGTACCGTGCTGGCTTCTTGATACCTTTTAAGGTCTAATTGTCTTTTCCTTGAAATAGTTTTTTTTTTTTTACTATTTCTAGAAGTAGTAAAAAAAAAAAAAAAAGCATTATTGAAGGCAAAGCAGCCCCACGTCAGCTTCTCAACTCATTTTGGATTATTTTTAAAGGTAAGACCCCTGTCTTATATTCAAGATTTTCTCACACATGTGAACCATCTAAGTTCTATGTTGTTAGAGCAGCTTAAGTTTCATTTGGCTATACTTATGTAAGACCAATATTGGGTGAGATGGATTTTTTTTTTTTTTTTTAATCTTTAAGGTAAGGCTCCTTACTTTCCCTTTTAATGAGAAAAGAGGTGGCAAAAATTCAAGTGTCAATTTCCCGTTTCTGGGAAGAGGTTTAGAAAAACTTAGCTCACTTCTAGAATTCTACCAGTTCTTTTTGAAGTCAACATAACATTATAATCAGATCAAAAATACAAGAGGTGAAACAAAAAATATTTACAAAACTGGGCATTTCTTAAAGATATAAAATCTTGCTAATACTAAGAGACCCATATATGGGAGATGTTTAAAAAAGGATAGCATGTTCTTGGTTGCATGAAGATAGAGAAAATCAGGATACAGCATCCCTTATACCTTTTTCTAATGCCAGAAAAGGTGCAAATAGTAGGAGCTGAGGCCACCTGATCCCTGAAGTGAACTGCCCAGCTATTCTGTTTCTCTAGAGGTTTGCAAGAGGGTCATGTACAAACTGAGCTGCGTGACTAACTGTATCCAGTCACTGTCCTCCTGAGAGAGCATAACCACCTGGCAAGCTTAAAGGCAAGTGTTTTCATTCTTTTAATTAAATAGGCTGTGTTAAATTAACAAGAAAACCAGCCCAGAACCAACCAGCCCGCCATGATGAAGTGCAAGTCTCGCAGTAACGAAAGGCCATCAGAGTGGCTACACGTTGGTCTCCAGTCCTAGCAAACGTCCCATTCTCTCCACATTCTTATCAATTGTAGCTTGACATGTTATCTCCTTGGCGCACTCCATAGGAAACCAGCCCCTTTCTCCATCTCGCAGTCTTTCTCCTTCATACCAGCCTGCAAGGAAAGACAGAGCCCTCATGAAGCATCTGAATGACTCTTGACTGTGCTCGGCTCCAAGGAAGATGTTGGGTACCAAAGATGATAAAAGGTGAGGAGAGAGGTGGAACAGAAGGAAAGGTTTCGAGGGGGGAATGAAGGGCATACCAGGGGCAGAGCATGATCAGAAACCCTGAAGTGAGGCAGCTGAGAGTATGTGAGCTTGGGCTGAGCTCTGGAGGGTGATGCTTTGGGTAGGGGAAGCAGGGCTATGTGTGCACACACACATACGTAATTTTATATATAAATATACATATATATTTTTAAAATATATATACATATTTATTTTTTTGTAAGGAAGGAAAGAAGAACCTCTGGAGATGAAAACAAGATCACTGGGGGACTGGGAAGGAAGGAAAACTTTTCATGGGTCCTTTCGGAATAACAAACCATGTGACTACATCCCCATTCAAAAACATGTAAAAGCAATAAAGTGTAGATAAAGGACAGGCAAGTGCAGATGAGAAAACCTATGTGGAATATGAGCATTAACAAAAAGGAGACTCCTTGGTTCTTCGTACCCTCAATGTTGGACCATCAGCGACCCGTAAGAACCCTTCCACTCACCATCACTGACCCGCTGATAAATGAGGACCACATCTGCCACCTGCAGGGAGAGTTCATCTGGCTGCTTGGCAGTAAACGATCTAATGATTTCCACCTGGGTTAGTGCTGCGAAGGCAAGGGGACATATTGAGCTTTCAGGAGCAGAAGAAAAACAAAACAGGTACAAATCGATAAGTGTATATTTACTCAGTCTTTCTGTGCAATTCAGGGCTGGCATTGATAGAAACAAGTCAGGCTTCTATCAAGAAGAAGAAAATCTTTTCCAAGAACTCCCTTATTTAGCTAAGAGCTTTAGAATTTTAGAAGCTCTGAACAGAGAGGCCTTTTATAACATATGAATCCCGTCAATAATAGCCTTGACAAGGAGTCATTAGTCATGTCACTTAATGGAGCAGAAAACAGCGACTGTGCACTGGGAAACTGAGACAAGACAGGGTAGGTAATGTGCCAAGGGCATAAAACTGATGGTCAAATCTGCAATATGTCCCATTCTCCAGTCTCCCAGCCGGGGTGCTTCCCCAGTCCATCAGAAGCAGCACATGGAAGCTGCCAAAGAAATTTAGAAATAAAAAGATCTCTCGCCAAAAGTTAGAAAACCTTTTAGAGTTTCTCCAAAGTGCTAAATCGTAATAAAACAATTAACTTGGTACAGACTGACATGACTTCTTAATTTGTTTGTTCATATAAAACTTGATTCGTATGAATCACTTCAGCTCTGACTCTAAGCTTAAAGCTATGATTGTTGAGCGCTCCAGGATAAACAGTTTTGCTGTCTTAATTCTTTGGATTTGACCGTCCAGCTAGAATCATGCAGAGAAGCATATCATCAAAGTTAAGGTGCTAAAGAATAAGCACACGATGCCACCCTGTACCATACCAGTTCCTAGTTCTCCAGAGAAATGAAATACATGTTGTTAGTGTTATTATTTTAATAATGAAGGTCAAAAGCAATAGTAATTTTCATTAAAGTTAAAAATACATTTCAGCTTAGATTCAGACTGTCAGTGTGGAGAAGGCTTAAACACGCTGCAACTGATGCATTAACCTCACTTAAAAACTTAAGAGCTTTACAATTCAAGCAGAGCTTTCGATGTATATTATTTAACTTCATCCTCATGGTAACCCCATGTTGCATATAATGAGGCACCTGACTTACAGAAGGTTAACACGTTCAAGAAGGATGTGCAACAGTTTACCACATTTATACAACAAAGGAGAACTGCACCTTGAATTTGAATTCAAACCCTTTGAATTCCAAAACAGGGATCACCCAGTTCTGTCTGATGCAGGGCAGCAGGAAGGAAACCCTGGGGGAAACTTATAAAGCAGCTAGTAGTTTTGTGGTGATGAGCCGTTAATACCGCAACGTCCAGCAGGGGGCAGAGCCCCTCCATGTTCTACGTTCCAGAGCAGACAGCCCTGGAGGTACTTACAGGTCCGGTCAGGAGGCTGCTTCCCGCTACTGTGTCCCAGGGCGGTTATCCAGCGGGCTCGATCACTCCTAAAACACAGAGTATAATCCAGTTGAGAGGTTTAAGGTGTTTAGACACAGAATGAAGTATGTTCTAGAATGCAAGAGCCATTCCCCTAAAACAGAGAAGACATTCTCTATAGGAGTATGGAGCTTGTGTTCAAAACAAAGGTAAAGGTTTAAAACTGATAATCTAGGAAATCTAAAATAGGCCGAAAACTAGTCACTGTCAAAAGATTCTGAATGAATCTGGCTAGTTATTAAGTGGAACTTCTCACATGACGGTTTAACATTTAAAAAAGAGCTAATCACGCTAACATATTTTAATCTCAAAAAGATGTTTAGTATACTCATAATCTGATGTTTAACATTTCAGAAAAGTACATTTCATTTAAAAAGAAAAAATCCTAGTAATTCAGTCCCTCTCTACTCCCTCTCCTCCCCCCACCAAACCATTTCGGAAAAGATGAGAAACTTGACATATTTAAAGTTGTTTTGTTTCCCATACAAATAATATTGCCAAATATGAGCCTTATTGAAATAGAAATTCTTTGACCTTTTTTAGACTGTTCTCAAATGCTTAAAATGGTTTAATGACTATAGCTAAAAATAATTCTTTAAGAAAAAAAACCCGACTTTTTATACAATATTAAGCTATAATTATGTGAAAAAAAAATTATTTAACTAAAGGATCACAAGTTTCAGGTAAGCAAGCACTATGCCATAATACAGTCATCCCGTTTTTGATTTGGAAAGTCGAATATTAGGATTGCAATTAAATGAACCACACAAACATGCACACTTTGAAATCTCTTAAGAAGCATTTGTTAAATCCATACTACATGGCAGATATAAGCACTTGACATCCATTATTTCATGTAATCTTCCCCAAAACCTGGGAGGAGGACGAGAATACTACACGCACGTTCCAATATCTGTGATTCCAAACAAAGTCAATTTCTACAGGGCCATTCTACCTTTTTAAGAAGGAATGCCTTTATGCCCCATATTTGATAAGTATTTTTTTCTCCCATAAGAGCTTGCACCTAAAAGATGCTTCTCACTGTCACTGCATCTTCACCCGCCACGTACATCCATCCAGGCAGAGCAGACGTCTTACAGCACTGAAACATGTCATGATGTTCCGCATCCTATTTCCTATTTGCTCTTCTTACTCTCAAATACGACCTTCCTTCCTTCTGTTTACTGAGCCATACCCTCTCATTATTAAACTTTTTAAGTTGAAGAACACACATAAAATAAATCTCTGCAGTGCTCTTACATGCATACAGCGCTGCGAGTGTTTACTTAGGCATACGCATGCACACGTGCTGCCAGGCCGAGACCGATGGCCAGGAGGTTCCCTTTTGTCCCTTCCAATCAATAACCTCCCACAGAGGTATCCACGGTTCTGATCTCCATCACCACAGACTAGTTTTGCCTATCCTGTGTTTTATGAAAATGGAATCCTATAGTGTGTTCCACTGGCTTCTTTTGTTCAACACATCGAGTCCATATTGAAAATACAAGGCTCGCCCCCTCCAGGCAGCTTCCCCTGTTGCATGAACTTACACTTCCGTCCCCATCCTAGTCTGATAAACCTGTTCCCACACACGCCTCAGCACAGCTCTATCATACTCCTGGTCAACTGTAAGCCTCATGAAGGTAGACATCTATGAGGTTCACCACACTGTCTCCAGAACACAGTTTGGCAAGTAAAGGGGACTCAGTAAACATCTGTTGACCTATGAAATTATCATTCATCTCATGCTGACCCCCGAACGTTAATAGACTTGTTTGTTTCTCTTACTCAGCCATAAACTCCAAGAAGGCAGGAACTCGGTCTCGTTCTAATCAGTTTCATGGAGCACTTACATGCTAGGTATGATACTTTTTTGTACTTTGCGAGTATCATCGAATCCAATATTTACAACAATCTTGGAAGAAAATCTTACCGTTATTTCCATTTCTCCAGAGGACAAAGTTTAAGTTTGGGATGTTAAGTGCCCGCTCACAGTAAAACGGCAAAGTGGTGCAGTGCACTCAGAATATAAAGCCACACAGTCAGGGATCCTAAGGTGTTTCCTAGCACAGCAGTCCCCAGACTTTCTGGCACCTGGCACCGGTGCTCCTATGAGAATCTAATGCCTGATGATCTGAGGTGGAGCTGAGGCGGTGATGCTGGCACTGGGGAGCGGATGCAAATACAGATGAAGCTTTGCTCACTGGCCCGTCGCTCACCTCCTGCTGTGTGGCCCACTTCCTAACAGGCCATGGACCTGTATCTCTATAGGCCACAGCCAGCAAGGCAGACTCCTCTTGGCTTACCACGCATCCACAGGGCCCTTCCTGCTGTCTGCATCCTTCATGTGAGGTTTCCCAGGCATGGCCTCGCTCTGACATCGAGTGGCCAGTTTCAGAGGTGGCCTCACCCTGCTGCCAGTTTCCAGAAGTCCACGTGAAATCTTTCCCTCCCGTGGCATACTGCCTGGATGCTAATGACATCCCTTAGACACAGCAGCCCCTCGTGGGGACTCCAGAAGACAGAACAAGACAGTCCTTGTTGCCCTCGCTGAAAGGAGCCCCTTCTAGAAATAGCTTCAATTGAGTCAGATGCTGTCAAAACCACACGACTTCCCCCAGGGCTTCCAAGAGCCCTGCCAAAGAGCTCCCTCCCATGAGTACTGCATCTCTAAGGCAGGGAAGGGACTCACTTGATATGACATGGAATTCTAAGAACAAGAAAAAAATAGGGCATAGACGTATCCATGATTAAATTTAGATATCAAGTCCAGGACTCATTCCAGACAGCTATTTTCTCCAGAGACATTTATGAAACAATCCACATGAAGTCCCAATCCACCCCACACTCAGCTCATAGATTTGTCCCTTTGCCCAAACAAAGCGATAGAATATGCAGTGCAGCAGTACTGTCGACCTGGGCATATCGGCTTCTGAGACTCTACCGATCACCCTTTTCTCCAGCATTCACTGAGTGCTGGCCCGTGTGGCCTCTGCGGGGGCTCTGTGCTCGGCTGAGGGTTGCAAAGTGAATAAAATGAGATTTCTTGCTCTTCACGGCCCTCTGTGAAGGAGCAGACAGAGCAGAACACACAGACACACATGCTCCAATGCAGCGTGCAATTGCTGGGGTAGAGTGCTCTACACAAAACACATGTGACCCAGGGAGAGGAAAAAGACAGAGTTGAGAAGAGATTCTTTTAACATAAACATCTGTAAATGCAGTTTTTTCATAACCCCCAAATTATGCATGGCATGAAACGATACATCTACAGTTCCCTACGCAGTTAACTGGTAACACCTTGTCCTGTCTCATATAATTTTACTTAAGCACAGTAGGTTTAAACTTAATTGCACAAAAGTCAAAGACACAGCAGAGCTGGACTTCTCATTGAATACCTGACATTTACTAGAAAAGAGAGCTACGTACTGAGAAGGTAGAATGCAGGCTTTGAAACAGGCAGGCCGGTGATGAGTCTGAAGGGGATGGGGCACCCACCAAGCACTTTGCCACTGATGTGTCTTCCTGATCTTTCAGCTGCTGCGGCCTAACCTTCCTTTTATCTTTCTTACGATGGCGTTTGACCAGATATCTTTTGTATTCCTTCTTACAGCCTATAAATTTACCTGCATGCCTTTTGAAACTTATCTTCGTGGCTTTTTGAAAAAAAAGTCTCCCAAGCCTTCATAAGGAGTAGGATTGTGGCGAGGTGGTTGTTGTTCATTCTCTCACACATTCGATTCAACTCAATATGTTCAATAAACTGATCCATGAAAGAAAACCCACAGGATAAAAAAATGTCATTATGAATGCTGCGTGACAAAGCCGGATAATACTGGATGCCAGTTCAGCTTACATAATTTACAAAATCTAACCGATTTTGTAAATAATAATTTGTAAAAACTTATCCTAGCCCACCGAGAGAGTTCTAAAATTTAGACTTTGTGACATGTAATCAAGTTCAATCGATTATTTCTTGTTTATCACAGTAAGTAGCTCATGAGACTAGTCTGGGTCTGGAATCCCAGCCTTAACCTAAAGTGGGTCAGTTATCTGTTTCCTTGATAATAAAAGACCTATACCATCACCTCTCCTCTTGTTTCGTTGGAGTCAATGATAACGATCACAAAAGATCAAATATTTTGACAGGCACTATAAAATGTAAAAGGTCATTATTAGACATGGATGCGATTCAATGAGGAAAAAAATACAACCTGTAATAGATACATTTTTTCCATATGAATTATCATCTCTATATTGTGGATTTTTCTTAAAGGAGGAAGTATAAGAGTATGTCAGACATACTATTTCACAATTTATTCCATCCCATTTACTTCCTGCTGTTAATTAAATCATTAACAGAAGCTGGAACAGCGCAAAAGACTTCCTGCAAACAATGCCCCTTTATCAGGAGGCCCTGAATGGCTGATGGGACCAACCACAATCATTAGGCTTGTAGTTCTTTTGGTGAAAGAGAACTTTTGAAAAGGATCTTTGATTACATTTTAAGGTGATTATATCCTATAGCTAAGTCTATGAATGAAGAAAGTTCGCATTCATCACTGAACATGTCCTGATGTCCCATCACTGCATACGACGGACCCAAATGCCATCCAAATTCCACTGTGAATTCAGGATGCCAAGGACGCCACTTGCCACGATCTCTGGTCTGTGCCAGCTGCGGCTGTCTATGCTTCATTTTAATGAAGGCAGACAAAGGGGGCTCTCGGGCGCCCACATTCCTCTTGAAAGGCCCAGAGGGAAAAGAAATGACAGTGGTAAAACATTCTTCCTTTGTCCTTTTATAAAAGGTAAGCTTTTGTATGTTTCTCAGACTCCTGTCTCATTAACAATACAGATCTTTAACAGGCAGGCAAACAGAAATGACAGAGTGTCCGTGGCTTAGATGTACATCCTAAAGAAAAGTTTTACCACATCCTTAATAGCAAACATTGAAAAAAAAACAAACAAATGGAATTTAGAGAAAACGTGTTCTAGCAGCACAGAA